ATTTGTTAAAGCAACCAACCAAAGTTTATTGTGATAACCAAAGTGCCATAGAACTATGTAAGAATAGCGTTTATCATGGCCGTAGCAAACATATAGATATAAGGTATCATTTTTCACGCGAAGCGCAATAGCGGGGTGATATTATTGTGAACTATTTAAGTACGGAGAAGATACCGCTGATATATTAACCAAAGCCTTAGCAAGTAACAAGCATAATACGTGCGTGTAACTATTAAATTTATGTTGAGGGAATCTACGACACCTAGATAAGGGGAAGTGTTGGAAAAACAAAGTGAGTTGCCTATCTTGGTATCTCAGGCGCCTCCGATACAGTGGTACCAAACCACTTGGTTTTTAGTAAGTGGGCTGATGTGGAACAAGCAGGAGTTAGCGCGGCGCGGTACAGAAGGTAGCACCGTGTTGAGTTGCAATATTAAGTAATTTCTCAGTTATATTAAATAAATCCTTTTTTCAACAATACTGCGTATTTCAGTTTAATTAAATAACCCGACAACAATGTTATCTGCAGCAACCATTTAATTAAAGATAAATGCAAATAGCAACTGTTATATCAACCAAATGTTAATAGCAAGTGTTGGTTATGTAGGAGCACAAAGTCGGTATTAAAGACTTGCACTTATCGACAGACCCGCTTACCGACCCTATTGGTAGGTAAGGTAGGTCTCCACATGAACAACGATTGATCCGTACCATTCTAATTTTCATATGCTACAAAAATGCAAATATCGATGGTCGTTCATAAGAGCACCCATTAGATAAAAGTGCAAATTATACAATATGTAGAGAAAAACATAACGTACTAAAATATAAGGATACAAAACAATATAGATACAAATTTGTTAATGAAGAAAAAGGAAATTTTAACGCTAAATATAAAAAATTATGACAAAATTCAGATTTACTATAAATACTTAAATTTTCGAAATTAGTTGTCACTATGACGTGACATTTCTAACAGCGCATTGAACCTTCGCTAAAAACTTTTCAATATTTTTAAGAAAAGTTTTCGCTGCTTTCTAGTATAATTATAAATAAAAACTATCAAATATCTAAAGAAATGCTGTAGAACAAAAGCTATAAAACATTTTTTTTCAAGTTTCAAAGCGTGTACTTAGAAATGAAAAGTGTTTGGTCCAATAAAATCATGCAAATAACATTTATATTTTAACAACATCAGTCCAAAAAAAGAGAAAAAATCATTTTATTACAACATTTTTTGGTTACATTAATTAAAGAATGTAATTCTTTTTTAACGAAATTCGATTGTAGTAATCCTGATGACTATTGTGTTTTTTTCCAAGTAGCACATTTGTACCGTTGCTTAATATGAATTATTATATTTAAAAAGAAATTTCCGCTACTTTCTGGATTAAATCGTAGTTATAAAATAAATACAATCTGAAAAAGTGCTATTTAAAAAACGCTATGAAACGCTTTCTTTCAAGCTTTAAAGCGTATACTTGCAAATAATAAGTGTTAAGTCTAAAAAAATTATGCTAATTTAATTTTTATTTGGACAACTGCAGTCAAGAAAATGGAAAAAAAACATATTATTACGAAATTTTTTGGTTACTTTACGTTTAGAATTAAATTTTTTTTTCGCCGAAACTAGATTGTAGTCAACCTGACAACCATTCCGTAATGTTTCTAATAGCACATTGTACATTTGCTCAAAACTTTTCAATATATTTAAAAAAGAATTCGCTGTATTCTAGATTAAATATAAGTAAAAACTATCAAATATCTAAAAAAATGCTGTAGAACAAACGCTATAAAACATTTTCTTTCAAGTTTTAAAGCGTATACTAACAAATGAAAAGTGTTAGTTCGAATAATATCTAGCAAATAAAATTTATATTTTAACTACTGCAGTCCAAAAAAAGAGAAAAAATCATTTTATTACAACTTTTTTTTGTTTCTTAACGTGTAATAATCCATTAAATTTTAAAGAAATTCGATTGTAGTCCATCAAACATCTATTCTGTTTAGATTCTAGTAGTTCATTTTTACAGTTGCTAAAAATGTATTAATATATTTAAAAAGAAATTCTCTCTACTTTCTGGATTAAATCGTACTTATAAAATAAATACAATCAAAAAAGTGCTATTTAACAGACGCTATAAAACGTTTTCTTTCAAACATTAAAGCGTTTACTTACAAGTAATAAGTGTTAAGTCTAAAAGAATTATGCAAACATCATTTATATTGGTTCTACTGCAGTGAAAAAAAAAGAAAACAATTATTTTATAAAGACATTTTTAATTACATTACGTGTCGAATTCAATTGTTTTTCGTCGAAACTCGATTGTAGTTAACCTGACATCCATACGGTCTTGTTTTTAATAGCACATTGTACCTTCGCTAAAAACTTTCAATATATTTAGGAAAAGTTTTGCTGCTTTCTAAAATAATTATAAATAAACTATAAATATCTAAAGAAATGCTGTCGAACAAAAGCTATAAAACAATTACTTTCCAGTTTTAAAGCGTATACTTACAAATAAAAAGTTTTATTTCCAATAAAATCTGGCATATATCATTTATTTTACTACAAATGCAGTCAAAGAAAACAGAAAAAATCATTTTATTACAGCTTTTTTTGGTTACATTACRTGTAAAATTCCATTATATTTTAAAGAATGTCGATTGTAGTCAACCAAACATCCTTTCTGTTTAGTTGCTAGTAGTTCATTTCTACTGTTGCTAAAAATGTTTAAGTATATTTAAAAAGAAATTTTTGCTACTTTCAGGATTATAACTGTAGATAAAAACTATAAAATTTCTAAAAAAGAGCTATATAAAACAAGCTATAAAAAATTTTCTAGTTAGATTTAAAGCGTATACTAACAATTAAAAAGTGTTCAGTCCAATAAAATCAAGCAAATAAAATTTATATTTTAACAACTGCAGTCAAAAAATCGAGAAAAAATCATGTAATTACAACTTTTTTTAGTTACTTCACGTGTAAAATTCCGTTATA